AGAACCACATATAAGTAAAGGTATTCTATGCAACTACAACTAAAGAAGAAGAAGAAGAAGAAGAAGAAGAAGAAAAAGAAAAGGACCCAGGATGTAGCTCAGTTGTAAAGTGCCCCTGGGTTCAATCCTGAGCACATGCGCTGGGGGTGTGGGGGTGTGGGGGGGTGTAAGACAACAACAAACAATTCCCTGGTGCCAAATGAAATAAGACAACAACAAACAATTCCCTGGTGCCAAACAAGATGATCTTGAACAAAGGCACAAAAGTTCATTATTAGTTCTGAGTGGAAGTAGAAAATGAAGTAGAGTTGAAGATGATTGATTCCAAACTTGGGCTGCTGGGCAGATTGCATGGTGATGCTCTTGACCAAAACARGTAACTCCAGGGGAGGATCAGATTTTAATTGAGGGAAGGGTTAGGATGGTGAGATAAGAAGTTTAGCTTTAGATTTGTTGAGTTTCCAGTGCCCATGGGATCTAAAAGCTGATTAGAAGGCAGGTAAGTATGTAAATGGGAAGTTCTGGAAAGAAATTTGGGATTTCAAGTGTATATTATATATTCATTAACATGTAAGGTGTATTTGAGAACTAATAAGTAGATAAGGATTTGCTGGATGTTATAACAGTGGGCATGCTCTACTTCTAACTCTGTTATAGTCCAAATAGTGGATAAAATCAGTGGCAAAACAGTATGCATATTTTAAAAGTAAAACAAAAAGTGAAAACTCAGTAATATGTACTTATTGTAAAAAAAAAAAAAAAARAAAAAAGAAAAATCAAACTGGTTTACAAGATTGTGAGAAGTATCCTTTCTTCCCCCATCCCATTTCCTACTCTAATTCCTTGGTCTCTTTTCAGACCATTTTAGGGCATATATGTATTACGGTTGCTCTTTTGCTTATATTTTTCCATTATTGCTTTGGTCACGAGTGACTTTTCAGCCTCTTAGTAACATGTTGACAGTCTAGAGGCAAATGGATAAAATACTGTTTGATTTTTTTTCTCTCCCATTGCCCTGTAATGTGTTTTTTTTCTTGTTTGTTTGACTTTTGGTACCAAGGATTGAACCTAGGGGAGCCTAACCACTGAGCCATATCCCCAGCCCCCCCCCCCCTTTAAACATCTATTCCTCTAGTTATGGGTTGACACAATACCTTTATTTATTTATTTATATTTATGTGGTACTGAGGATCAAACCCAGTGCCCCACGCATGCTAGGCAAGTGCTTCACCTACAAGCCACACTCCAGCCCCCAGCTCCAGCCATTTTATATTTTATTTAGAGACGGAGTCTTGCTGAGTTGCTTAGGGCCTTACTTTGCTAAGGCTGGTTTTTAACTCACCATCCACCTGCCTTAGTCTCCCAAGCACTGGGATTACAGGTGTGCACCACCACTAGAATAGTGTGTTTTATGGTGGTGTGCTTGTAGTATTGACTTAGAAAGTTTCTTCCTTTACCTTTTTATTTTATTTTATTTTATTTTATTTGGCTACCAAGGATTGAACTCAGGGGCACTCAACCACCGAGCCACATCCCCAGCCCTATTTTGTGCTTTTATTTAGAGGTAGGGTCTCACCGAGTTGCTTAGTGCCTTGCTATTGTTGAGACTGGCTTTGAACTTGCAATCCTCCTGCCTCAGCCTCCTGAGCCACTGGGGTTATAGGAGTGTGCCACCGTGCCCGGGTCACATTTTCTTGATTAGTAAAATTACTGTTCAAGCGAACATACCTTGACMTTCATTGGAATTCTTAAATCTCCCTTGTGTTGTATAATGGGAACATAGTACCACATTCTTGTCTGTTTACCATGAGCATTTCTGTTTACTGTTTCTCCAACCTGGAGGGAGTGATACACTAGTATTTTCTTTGATTACCTTGTTGATATAGTATAACTATTAAGTTAGAATGACTGAAAGACTTATTAAGAGACCTCCTGTTAAATCCAGAATTTGAAATACCGTGAAASAGTTTGTAGCATATGTCTTTTTTAGAGTCAGCCTGATTTCATTGACAGTCCGCTTGAGACTAAAACACATCAGATCTGGATTCTAGAAACGCCCTCCTATTAATTGATCACTGTAACTTAGTCCCTTCTTTGCCAGGGTCCTTGTTTTGAAAGAGCAAAGAGCATGGTGCATATTTTCATTTACACATATTTACTGCATTCCTATGAGATGTCATTTTCTGTAATAGTAATAACAGGAAGTGTTATTAAGCAAGTGTTAACTCTTTGTTAACCATAAATACTCTTCTGGATGCTATGGGTGCAGTAATGTACAAAATGGGCCTGGTGCTTTCCCTCATGGGTTAATATATATTTTAAGACGGTGAAACCCTTATTTTGAATCTTGTGAGAGGTAAAATATAACAGAACAAATAATTTTGTTCCTCCTGACTTCTAAGACTTTTTCTCCTGTGAGAGTTTGCCTATCACCTGGTCTGTCCATTCTGGCACTRCATGATCAGGTTTGCTAGTGTTTCACTTAAGCCACACTCCTGGTCACTTTGTAGTTGAATYTTAGTTCTTTTAAAAACACTTGATTCTAAGTAAGACTTCAATAGAACGATACAGTATTTAAAAACAAACTAATGGACTGGGGGTGCGGGTCAGTGGTAGAGCACTTTAAATAAGAAAACGGAAAGCATAATGGTTTAACTGATTGCTTCCTAGATAATCCAACCTACAGTATGAAATTTATTAGTCCTGAAGTTCTGGGTGTATCTGAAATAAAGGCAGATTTCTTTACAAGAAATCCACCCACTGCATTCCCAACATGTAAGTTGGCAGCACATTGGTTAGAGATGATGGAGCACTGTAACTCTGCTGGCATTTTAATAATACGGATAAGCCTCAGCCTCCCAAGTAGCTGGGACTAGAGGCACATGCCACTGTACCCAGCTTAAATGATTTTCTATCTTTAGATATGGGTTGATTTCTAGCATTTCTTTTCTAAACATGTTACAAGTATAGTCTTGCGTGAAAGTTTAAGTATTAAATATTGATACAAACTTTCAGGCTTTGGGGGAAAAGACTACTAAATACCTAACTTAGTTTTATAAATAGTTCTCAGAAGTTCTTTTACTTAGACCAACAAATTAAATCAGCACCTCCAAATTCCATCTGCCATGCCTATCTGAATGCTTTTCCTTTGTTAAGTACAATTCTTGTCTTTTTTCAAACTCTTAAATTTGGAAGCATTTTGGCAGCTTTCCAAAACTAACATTACTAGAATATTATATTCTCAAGTGTCTTGATATGTATTAATATGTGAAAAWCAATTTGTATAGCCTGAGAGGGCAAGAAAGGATCTTTTATTCCTTAGAGTCTGCTCAAAAYTAGTATAATACTTAATTGACAACTTGCTTCTTTTTTTTTTTTTTTTCTTATAGTACTGGGGATTGAATCCAGAGGTGCTTTATCACTGAGCCACATCCCYAGTCCTTTTTATTTTTTATTTTGAGTACAGGTCTTGATAAGTTACTGAGGCTGGCCACCTTCCTGTCTCAGTTTCCCATGTTGCTGGGATTATAGGCATGGGCGACCATGCCCCACTTGCTSTTAATAATTTTGATTGACTATCTTTATTAAAGCGAGCTGTTGTAAATTAAGATTAAAGTTCCAAGGAGCTGGAATAATTGGCCGTGCCACTGCAGCTGGCTTTCTTTCTTCTACTTATGCTGTTGGCCCACACTTACCTAAGCACTTGAGTTTTGTGTATATCTTACTCCTGTTATCACTGACAAAGGTTCATGAGAACCAGGTGTTTCCACAGTAGCTTAGTGCTGATAATTATTTGGAATGATATGAGTGGCCTTAAATACATATGGTAGTAAAACATCTGCAAATATTTTTGTTTGGAAAACCTAATTTACTTTTGAACTTTTGGTCATTTCATTGGTTAGCTAATAACAGTGTTTTCAGAGTAAACTGTCTCTTTTATTTCTGAGAATAAATAAAATTATGTTTTCTGAAATAGCATTTTAGAATCTTTCAGAAAATCCAATTATAAAAAATCTAGTGTTAGCTATTGTTAGTTCTTTTTTTCTTTCTTTCTTTTTTTTTATTGGTTGTTCACAACATTACAAAGCTCTTGACATATCATATTTCATACATTAGATTGAAGTGGGTTATGAACTCCCAATTTTTACCCCAAATGCAGATTGCAGAATCACATCGGTTACCCATCCACAATTTTACATAATGCCCTATTAGTAACTGTTGTATTCTGCTACCTTTCCTATCCCCTACTATCCCCCCTCCCCTTCCCTCACATCTTCTCTCTCTACCCCATCTACTGTAATTCATTTCTCTCCTTGTTTATTTTCCCATTCCCCTCACAACCTCTTATATGTAATTTTGTATAGCAATGAGGGTCTCTGCTCTGTTCATAGTTGCTCTCATTATATCAAAGAAGACATTTGGTATTTGTTTTTTAGGGATTGGCTAGCTTCACTAAGCATAATCTGCTCTAGTGCCATCCATTTCCCTGCAAATTCCATGATTTTGTCATTTTTTAGTGCTGCATAATACTCCATGGTGTATAAATGCCACATTTTTTTTATCCATTCATCTATTGAAGGGCATCTGGGTTGGTTCCACAGTCTAGCTATTGTGAATTGTGCTGCTATGAACATTGATGTGGCAGTGTCCCTGTAGTATGCTCTCTTATATTGTTAGTTCTTTTCACATTTTTTAACTCTTCATGTGAAGTGCATATGATTTATAAATTTCTTTTTTTATATATATTTTAGTTGTAGATGGGTACAATACCTTTATTTATTTATTTTTTATGTGGTGCTGAGGATCAAACCCAGTGTCTCACAGTTGCTAGGCAATCACTCTACCACTGAAATACAACCCCAGCCCTATAAATTATTTCTATTAAAAACAAGTAGACCCTACTTAGATCTTAGAGTTTCATTGGACTATACAGTTTTCAAGGTATCTTTTTCTTCTCATGATTGAAGTAAACATTTTTAACTTCCCTTTTAGATCCATCATGTTACAGAAAATGGAGGACTATATAAAAGACCGTTCAATGAAGCTTTTGAAGAAACGCCCATGCTGGTTGCCGTGCTCACATATGTGGGCTATGGGGTGCTTACCCTCTTTGGATATCTTCGGGATTTCCTGAGGCACTGGAGAATTGAAAAGTGTCATCATGCAACAGAAAGAGAAGAACAAAAGGTAATTGTTAGAGTCTTTGATTCTTTAAATAGAATTCTTTTATAAAAATGTTAGTATTTTCACACAATTTTTTTTCCTTAGAAATTTGGATACGTGATAAAATCAATATTCCAAATGCAGTTAAGTGAAAACATTTTACAAAGAAAGCTGGAAATAAGATTAGAGGGGTGGAGAAATCAAAGTATTTGACATGTTTTTAGTTTAATTACTCTAAAAATGAAATGAAGTTGGCAACACTATCCCTTTTTCATGGATTAGAAAGCTGAAATTCACAATTTAAGCAGGCTCCTGAAGATACCTAGTATCACAGCTAGTTTGTGGCCACAGGAATGCGAAGTGCCAAAAGCCATGCTCTCTCTGCTCATGCTTCCTATTTATCCCATGCTGTGTTTATAATTATCTGAAAGATTGTGTCCTTCTGGTGTGTTTTCTCCTGGACACATTATACATCATTGTTTTTTTTGGTTTTTTTTTTGGTTCCTGGATCACCTCTTTCCCCAAATAAACAAATGCAGAAACAATGTGGCTGAGCCATTTGTGTTTGAAAGTCATGGTAAACAGAGATGGTAATGTTTGTCTCTGGGAGGAAGACCTCATTCACTTGCATTTTCTATGTATGCTCTTATGTTTTTAGTGCTTTATACCTAATGCAATAAATAGAATGAGGGTAAAAAAAATGCCTGATTCTACTAAAAAAAATTATTTTCTCTTGTCATATGAATTCTAGAGAGATTGTCCTCTGAAGTCAGGGGAATGTACCAGATTAGAGAAGGGCTTAAGATGTTAGTTTTAGGACTGGGGATGTGACTCAAGCGGTAGCGTGCTCGTCTGGCATGTGCAGGGCTCTGGGTTCCATCCTCAACACCACATAAAAATAAAATAAAGATGTTGTGTCCACCGAAAAATAAAAATAAATATTAAATTCTCTCTCGGGCTGGGGATGTGGCTCAAGCGGTAGCGTGCTCGCCTGGCATGCGTGCGGCCCGGGTTCGATCCTCAGCACCACATACCAACAAAGATGTTGTGTCCACCGAGAACTAAAAAATAAATATTAAAAATTCTCTCTCTCTCTCTCCTCTCTCACTCTCTCTTTAAAAAAAAAAAAATTCTCTCTCTCTCTCTCTCTAAAAAAAAAAAAAAAGATGTTAGTTTTATTTATTGTCCTTCATAGCTCTCCCTTTTGTGGAATGATATCTGAGAGAGGAGGGTTGGGGTCACCAYTGTCAGAGGAACCAGTAGGGGAAGAGAAAGAGTACATCAAGAAAATACGGGAAGAGCTAGGTATCAGAGCGCCTGCTTGTGATCCCAGCTACTTGAGAGGCTGAGGCCGGCCGATTTGATTGCTTGAGCTTAGGAGTTCCAGGCCAGCCTAGGCAACATAGCGAGAATGTGGGAGAGGAGAGGAGGGGGCCTTGTCAGCWACCAAGACAAAATCAACCATTATATGTGTGGTTTGAGAATTCTGGCCCCTAAGAGCACTCTGGATCAGACATCTTAGATCCTCTCAACCATTTTGCACTTCTTTCCCAGCCATAATGCCACAAGTTGGCCATCCTTACTCATAAAGGAAAGTGGTTTCTGGGCTCAGACAGGAGGATCTCGAGTTCAAAGCCAGCCTCAGCAATGGCAAGGTGCTAAGCAACTCAGTGAAACCCTGTCTCTAAATAAAATACAAAATAGAGCTGGGGATATGGCTCAGTGGTTGAAYGCCCCTGAGTTCAATCTCCAATATCCCCCTCCGCCCCAAAAAAGTGGTTTTTAAAAAATGCTGAATGTGAGCAGAGCTCTATATGCAGAACTCAGTCCATCATTGAAAACTCAAACACATTTTTAAATTTGATTCTTCATCTATTCTGTTTATGAGTGCATCCACCTAGAATTTTTGCATCCACAGTGTGTTTGTCCATCCTTCAGTTATGGCTTCCTGTACACTTACTGTGTTAGACAGTGTTTCATTTACTTGTTCACAGGCTAATCTACTAGACTGAACTGATGGTGGTTGTGGATGGTGGCTGATATCTTGTTTATAGTGCAGGCAAAGACATGAGTAATATTTGGGAAAACTTGGAATGCGGATATATGAGAAATTGTTTTGAATGTCAAATGAGGAAGCTGGTAGGCAGAGAGGARTTGAGGGCAGTTTTTGAGCGGGAGAGTGACTGTGGGCTTACACAGCTGGTGCTCAGTGTGATGAGTGAATGAAACAGTAAAGATACATCTGAGGGGCTGGACTTGTGGCTCAGTGGCAGGGTACTCACCTAGCATGTGTGAGGCTGTGGGTTCCATCCTCAGCGCCACATAAAAATAAATAAATAAATAAAGCTATTTTACAACTGAAAAATAAATATTAAAAAAAAAAAAGGTACATCTGAGTTACTTTGTGAATGAGTCATTATCTCTGGAACTTGTTTCATGTCTTTAGAGAGTAAATTCACTGTTTAGATATTGGAGGCTGCTCATGTGTATGTCATTTTATATGAAATTATTAGAATATACAGATTTTATTAGATAGTTTCTAATTTTGTTGAGGAAACAGACTCTTCATACTTAGCACCTTCAGAAGACCATTATGCAAATAAAGAGGGCTCAAATTATAAGAAATTGTAGAACAAAAAGTAAACTGGTAGTATAGGGTTAACTAGGAAATAATTCTTGGAGGAAATAAAAAGAGGAAATCATGAGGGACAGAGGGGACATTTGCCTCTACAGTTTATTCAAATTTATTTCAATTGGATTTTCATGATTACATCAGCAGTTAATTCAATTAAATGCTGCCATTTTCTTATAAAATTCAGCTTTTAGAGGAAAGGAAGGCTCATTCAGCCTTATGATGGATCATGTTTGTTTCTCCTGCTGGAGAGAAGTGGGGAGAGGAGTAGGCAGACTTCAGTGATAAACTGCAAGGAGAATGTGCTGGTTGCTTAGGATCATAAAATGCAAATATGATGTTGCCACTTCCTTGCTGACCACATCCTGATTTTCTTCCTCATTGTGTTACAAAAAAGCCCAACTTACTTATGTTAATTATTCTTTATAGGGAAACACCAAGTATTGTTTTGGGTAGAACTAAATTGCATGGTCATACTAATAAAGATGAGTTTATTATTGGGCTCAGTGGTAGAGTGCTTGCCTTGCATGCGTGAGGCCCTGGGTTCGGTCCCCAGCACCACATAAAAATAAATAAAAATAAAGATATTTTTTTAAAAAGATGAGCTTATTCTATTTCATATAAATTGCATAAAATTCTAGGAATTTCTTTCCCCCATGCTTTTCTGTTATTAGTGGTGTTTTGGACAAGAATGTTGTTTTTCTCAGCTTAGGGTTTCTCTTTTTTTATGCATACTAGGCAAGCACTCTACCACTGAACTACATTCTCAATTTATTTCCTTTTCGTGTGAGGTGAAGCTGGTAGTCCAGAAATGTGTATTCAATCAATATAGCAAAAGCTTGAATTAATAATAATGTTCTAAGATAGGAAATACTTAGAAATATAAGCAGCAAAGTGTGGTAGGTGGTTACCACATTAAACCGAAAACTAACGTTTTGCCTCCATAGTGTATTTGTGGTCTGATGTTCAAAAACAGGACAGATATATATATCCACATCCAGATACATTTAATTTTCAAGACACAAAAGAAGGAAATAGATTGAAATCCAGTAATAAGAGTTCCTATAAGGATTTTTTTTTGAGAAAACATGTACAGTTATATTTTATTTTTTTAGGATTGTATTTTTTTAAAAAGAGAGAGAGAGAGAGAGAGAGAACTTTAATATTTATTCTTTAATCATTGGTGGACACAACATCTTTGTTGGTATGTGGTGCTGAGGATCGAACCCGGGCTGCACGCATGCCAGGCGAGCGCGCTACCGCTTCAGCCACATCCCCAGCCCAGGATTGTATTTTTTAAAAAATATTTTTTAATTATAGTTGACACATACCTTTATTTTATTTATTTATTTATTTATTCATATGTGGTGCTGAGGATCGAACCCAGGGCCTCACATGGGCCAGGTAGAGCACTCTACCGCTGAGCCCCAGCCCCAGCTCCTAGGATTGTATTCTTGATCTTCTTCAAAAAGTAGTTTAATAAGAACATTCTGGCAGTTGTCATTTTAGCAGTATCTTAGGAAACTCTGCTTGCAGTATAGTTGTCTATAGAATATTAAACTAGGGGATTGGAAAGTTGTCTTTTTAATTTTTTAGATCATTCCACACTTAAAAAGCATAAATTTCCATCATTTTGTGTTAAAAGTGGAGCCAGGTTAGCTGTCATTTTTCTGTGTGTGTGTGTGTGTGTGTGTGTGTGTGTGGGTGTGGTGCTGGGGATTGAACTCAGGGGTTCACATGCTAGACAAGTGCTGAGTTGCATCCCCAAGCCAGCAGTCATGATTTTAAAAACACTTCATTGAAACATGATTTACATACCATAAAGGGCATCCTGTTTATTTTTAGAACTACACAAATGAGTACTATGATCTAATTTGGTAACATTTTCATCACCCAAAAGAAAAAAACCTGTATCCATTAGTAGGCACCTCTTCCTTACCTCCCTCCCATCCCAGGCAGCCACTACTATACTTTCTATCTGTGGATTTCTGTTATTCATATGTCACATGAATGGGATCATATGCTGTGTTATCTTGTCTGTCCCTTTCACTTGACATGATGTTTTTGAGGTTTATCCATGCTGTAGCAGGTACCATTACTTAATTCCTTTTTATTTCTGAATAATATTTCATCATATGGAATCTCTTTCATTCCTTCATCTCTTTTTATTTATTCTGGGGTTTTTTTTCTCCATAAGAAGCTATGCCCAATAAAATTTTCAAAAAGTTTGGTAGTGCGTTTAGCACTTTATCCTTTCCTACTAAGAGTTTTCCCATTACCTATTGGGGTTTTTGATGAAAGCAACAGTGTAGTTTTTTTTTTTTTTTTTTTTTAAGCAAGGTCTTATCTTTTGAATTTTTAGGTTTTAATCAGATTTTCTTTGCATAAAGCA